TTTGCTTACTTTTACTTTTTCTTATATATTTATATATGTGTATTAGGTTTATTTAGGTTGTAGATTAGTGGAGGCCCCTATTAAAACACGTGACCTAGTTGTTTATATATATACTATACATTTTATGTAATGTCATATTAATCTTGTTATATATATAATTTCTACTAACTCATTGAAAAATAATAAAATTTTATTAGTAAAAAATTTAAATGATATATTTTTATTAATATGAACGTATGATGTCATCTTGCTTTACAGGTTATCAATAAGGTCTATATTTTCTAAATAAAAGATTTTTATACGAACAATTAGTCTTTTTTATTTTTTACATTTAACACATAAAATTAAAAAAAAATTTTTTTAAATAAAAAAATACATTTATTATTAGACTGAAATATCTGTAATGTAATTAATTTTTTATAAAAATTAAAATATAAATAATATATTTTACACAAATTGATAAGTATAATTAATTATTTAAAAAAATACTTTTTATAATTTTATGTGTTAATATTAAAAAAAAACTTATTGTAAATTTATCGTAATAATTAAAATGTATTTAATTAATAAGAATAATTATTTAATTTAAGTTTCTCCTTTAAAATAATATTTTAGAAAAACTTATTGTACATTGGTCGTAATAATTAATAATTAATTAATAAGAACAATTATTTAATTTAAGTTTCTTCTTTAAAACAAGATTTTAGAAAGTTGTTATGATTAAATTATAAACATCATAACGCTTTATAAAAACACATTTAAAAATAATATTTAATAAACATTTCATAGAAATTATTTCAAAATTATTTATTATTTAAGCAAAAATTTAAACTAAATGATTAATTTTTTCTTTTAGTATTTTTATTATCAATAGTAAATAATTAAATAATTAAAAATTTAAAAAAAACATTAAAAAGTATTAAAAATGTTTAATATCGTTCGTTTAAGTAGTTAAACCTCCATGACAATGATATAGACTTTCTGTGGTCAAGTGAGCATTTATCGAAATTGCTAGATAATACCATTCAAACGAATAAAACAAATATCAACGTATAATTTCATAAAAACATCACCAATATGCTGTACGAGCTTTATCACGACATTGATATAATTTATCGAATTAATATCCAGCGACTTCGCTAGCTTGGTCATGTCGTGAGAATAGATAAAGATGCTCCAGCGAAAAGGTGTTTAAAGCAGTAGTTGGCAGAAGAAGACGTAGAGGTATCTCCGATACAGTGATCAAGTTGAGGGAGCACTAACTGGACTTAATGTACGAGACTGGAGAAGGGGCGCATGCAGCAAAGGCGCTTGGGGAGACATGCTGTGTCAGGTCGAAACTCGGTAACGGGTTGTTATGGCCAAATAAGTAAGTAAGTAAAGTAACTATGCTAGCATTGGAGAGTGAAATTGCTAGCTAAATGCAAGATAAACGGTCTTAGACGTCTCCTTCATGGAGTTACAAGTAGCTTGTCAAACTATACATACACTTACTATACATAATAGTAAACAAGGAAAAAAACTAAACAATAAAAAGGAATTTGTATGGAAATTATAACTCATTTCTATAAGCTATAAGATATAATATAAGAATATCTAAAATACTTCTTAATTACTGTCATGAAAATAAAAAAAATAGTCAATATTAAAGTGTTTACAACAAAATTAATTCAAGCGCTATGTAATGCTACAAAAAAAATGTGGAAATATTGACGGCAATAGACTTTAAAAATATATTAATATTCTAAGCAATTATCAGTACTTCAACTTTATTAATTTTGCTAAGAGAATATACAATAATTAGTATTGGCATAATAAATTATAAATTACATTGAATGGAATTTAAATAACAATAATTTAATTGAATTCTTAGAAAACATAGAATCAATTGATGAACTGAAGCTATTGTGAGAGAAAACATCATATACAATGCAATTAAAGTTTAAAACATTCTCAACTTTTGTAATATTATTAATTTTTTTCAGATATTTTCAAATCACAGTAAAGAGAAGGAAGTTGACGGCATTTTGAAAAGAATCGCGTTTTTAAAACAATTTTTTAATGTTTACAGATAGTTTGTATTCACAACAACAATTTTATTTCAACGAATTTAAGAAAAGTAAATACTAGTAAAAGTAATAATAAATAAAAATAAAAAAATTTGTTCCCTACAACAAAATAAAAATCAATATTTATTTATTTTTTATAAAAATTTAAATAATTTTATATACTTAAAAAAATCCAGAAGCTAGTCTCTGAAGACTCTTCAAAGTGCCTTAGAATAGATCCGGTCAAAAAATACATAAGGGATAGAGCCCTAAAGCTATATGCGAAAACCGACAGGCTGCCCTACTTAGCACTATCTAATCTCAGAATAATCACTAACCGTACGGGACGGTACGCAGATCTAAGATCAGTCATTGAATAATCACGAAACTTATGAGGAATACACAAATTAGTTAGTGATATACTTTATTAGATTTAGAACTAGTTTACTATATTTTTGAATAGAATCTGTCAGTAGAATTAAAAATTAGAATTTATATAAAATGGCAGTAACAATCTTAAAAACTGTGATTGAGCAAACACAAATAAGACTCTAGTTTCACAGATTAATAGATGCTGTGACAATAAAATTCGGACCATTAAAAAAATTTTTCTTTTTACAATATACTCATTTAATTAAAAGTTTTCTTCTTACAAATAAACTTTCAACTTTTAAAATGTAAACTAATTAACAAATTTGGTGAATAGTCAATCGATTTGAAACGCAATTCCAGTTTTAGTCAAGACGAGTGATCTAGTGTGCCGTCTTAGTAAAAGAAAACTAATTTTGTTTTCTGAATATACATTAAAAGTTTTTATGTATATTTTTAATTAAATTTATTTTTATTTTAAATTTTGTATTAAATTATGGACTAAACTTTATTTCTTTTTTTTCTATATATGTATCCTATTTTTTGTTACATTTTATGCTTATTTTTAATTAAAAACTAATATATGTATACGTTAATTTTGGTTTTTAAAAATATTATTTATTTCACACAGTTAATCGATTTCAAACTTGTCAAATCATAGTAAAAAGTAAATCTATTTAGATAATCTGAGAAGATTGTTGTCAAACTTATGACTCAACTAACTTAAAAAGTTTTCACTATTATTTACTGAAGTAAGTAAATCAGTTAATTAAACTGTTCCCATTACTACAGTTACCATATGTTATACATAACTGTTACAAATCAAAAAATATACTATACTACCCTATAAAATTTTAATTTCAATTAATTCACTTGTAACAAATAGTTTATGACTTCACGCTATCCGCTAAAATAAATTTCGTACATATTTACAAACAAACTATACCCAAGACAATATTGTTATTGTTATTGCACATTTGTATTTTTTTCCATAGTTTTTGCATTAACATTGTTGCTTCTTGTTCTCTTAAATGTATAGATTTAGCTACTAGGAATAATAAGAATAACAATTACAACAAAACTAACGATACTAGTAGCGGAGATAATGAAGATGAAATGCCGTTAGGCTGGACAATGGCTTTATAAAACCTAGGTAAAAATTATTGAATGTTAAAACTGAGAGTGTAATAGATATTATTCTAAACAAGTTTAGTAAATTGTAATAGAACTCAATTTTACCGTCAGATATTATAGAGATATTGCTTATTTACTGCTTAATCATGCTTTCTAAGAGTTCTATAAAATTATATACAGGTAATATTAAATACTACAAAAAAAATAATTAACATTAATATATGTATATAGAATATGAAATAGTAGAAAAAAAAACTTTTAACTATATATATAAATGCAGGCGACGATTATTTCGATCAGAAAATTTTATATTTATGTCTTCTAGAAAATTAGATTTATTCTAAAATTTTTTCCTTCTAATCCTTTTTCTTTAGCATATTTTCAATGAAGAAATTTTGTAAATCAATGAAAATCATTAAAAATTGTATAAGATTTATTTCATATTTGATGTGGTTTTCAATGTCTGTAAATGTTTCTATAAAAAAAAAACACAGAATGATTCCTTTTGATAGGCTTTACTAGAAATATGGTATATGACGAGTACAATAGCATGTAGTCTCTAGAATAGTATAGTGTAGAAGAGTGTGGGGAACATTTTAAGTTATGTAAAAATGTTACTCTTAATTTAAATAAATATTAGTTTCTAATAAAATATTGTTAATTATCCATTAAAAAAAAATTCTAAAATATGAAAAAAAAATATTTTAAATAATTTGCATTGTAAGTATTTCGTTGATATTTCTTGTGTAGTTTAAACTTATTGTTTTCCAATTTTTTTCAATTTCATACAAATACATATTAAGAAGATAAAGAAATTTCATTTAGTTATTAAACAAAAAAAAAATATTTTTTTATATAAACAAATTTATAGATAACCTATAGATTGTTTATATAATAAATGCAAATTATTTTCACAACCAAAAAATTTTTTAAATAAATAAACAAATTAAAATTATTTTTAAAATTTAATTAAAAGCAATTTTAAATTATTGTAATATAACACCACAAAATTTACACGTTAAAATATTTCTGTTATTATTATTTTTTTATAATAATAATTATAAAAATTATAATAATTTTTTCTGTTAATTTCCATTTATGTTATATAAATTATATATTTTTTTATTTCACATAAAAATTTATTCTTAACCACACAAAGATTTATTATTAAACGCAAATTAATTAATAACAAAAAATAAAATAAAACACAAGAAAAACTTTTCTATAAAATTCGAATCCGAATAAGCCGCGTTAGTAATTAATCAAAATATGTCAACACATTTTCAAATCTCTTAATCAAAAAATACAATTCATAAAATTATTGCTTTATCTCAAAGATACATTATTGAATCTCTTGAATGAAGAGTTGAATAACATTTAACAATTGTTTTAATAAATCATAAAGAAAGAAAAAATATAGACATAAACAAATCAAATTGAAACATTTACGCGTATAACAACAAATATTCAAACACAATTAATTACAAAGCTCGGAACCCGCGTAAATTTTGCTATTTGCTTAGAACGCGTCCAGGAAACGTCAAAAAATTTCGAATGAAAAACTTTGCTACGTCCGCACAGTTTCGCAATCAAATTCTAACTAAATTAAAAGCGCCAGAAAACGCTGAGTGTATCAAAAAAATAAAAAAGCATGAATCAACAAATAAAACGATGAAGTAGTAAAGTGAAAGAAGAAGAACGACAAAATGTACTGTCGTTGCCACATGCAGTTAGCAGCAACATGCGCGCTCCAACTGTGGTGATGGCTCAAAAAGGTGAGAGAGTGTGGTGTGACTGAGGCTGTGTGATTTTCGTGGTCAGGGATAAAGCAACAACTATAACTACAACAACAACAAGTGTAATGGTTCACTCAATGCTTATTCAGTACAATCAAATGCCAACAACACAATACACCTGCCATGACATTTTACACATTGCACAAAGTTTAAACATAACTGCACAGTAGCGGCTGTCAAGTTTTACACTTTACACTCTGCCACATAAATAATACAAGTGAATTGTAAATGATGCCATGAACAAGAACAAGTAGGTAGTGTGTGTTTGTGTGTGTGTTTAAGTGTGCTGCACTGGTGTTGATATTGTTGACAGTTGAATTAGTTAAAACAGCTGATTGGACAAGCAACCTAAATACATAAATACATGACAATATTTCAGTTAAACTTTATGAATTAATATCTTTGTATCTGTAAGATACTATATGTATAATTAAAATACATTTTGCTCTCTCTTGTAGATGTTCTCCACAATTCACTATTTGTTTTGTTTGAAAAGTGACTTTTTTTTCGTTTTATTTCTCACACCATTTGCACGTGTTTTGTTTTGTTCGCTCACTCAAATATTTCGTTTTGTTTATTTAATGCCAATTGCATTGTTTTTGTTTTTGGTTTTGTTTTTGTTTTTACGTTTGGTTTTTTTAAAATTTATTACTCACTTAACATGCTTTGTGTTTCTTATCTGCAACAGGTTTCCATCAAATCGCTCACTCAAATTCACACACAGCTGGAAAGGAAAGCATTCACGGAGACTTTGAATTCAACGAACGTGCGGAAAATAAACAAAAGTGGCAAAACAGTAAAGCTTTAAAATAAAAAACAAAAACAATGCTTATTGAAACCAATAGCAGAGGAAAATCAGTTTAATTTCCGATGGCATAGCATTACCAAAGCAAAACTGTTAAGTAATTGATATCTTATTTTAGTTTAGATTTAAACAAGCAATGCACTAGTAAAACGTTACTCTTAATGGATTTTTGTTAGTGATTTAAAGTTCGATTTTAATTATTTCTTCTTCATTATTCTGTTAAAGTTTTCAAAGTGCGTTCTTCTTGTACTAATCAACCCAGGATATGTTAACTTTATTTTGGAGCGTGATCCATCAGTTAAGTTAACATCTGAGGAAAAAAACTTACAATTTTATTATTTGAGAAGAAAACTACTTTTTGTTAGCAGATGTTGCTTTAATATTTCTTAAAGTTGTTAAAGCTGTTTTTCTGTATGTGAAAATCTTAGTATGAGTCTGATAGTGATTCCAATAGAAAGAGGAGAAAATTATAACACTGAACCGAGATACATATTATCAAAAAGTACCAGAAAAAACGTGCACTTAAAAAACTGCAAATTTATGCAATATTATTTCTATTAATAGATTATGTACATTTTTATCAAAAAAGCAGGTAATTATCTGCATCCAAAAACCGATTTCTGAAAAATATCACATGATAAAAAGAATATTTTTTGGGTAAAAATCGCCATACCTAAAAATAATAAAATACTAATACACGAAAAAAATAAAATATATATATATATAAAAAAAAATTATATCATTCATAAAAAAAATACATATATATATAAAAGAGGTTTTTCGAACAGTAGTGAACTACAACAAAAATTCATTTTATGTTATTTTAATTAATTGAACTTTTGGCTGACCATTCAGCTGTTTTGAATATTGCCAAATACCCATCATCAGTGGTCTTGGAAATAATTGTTATATATAATTATGACTGCAAGTAGCAGGAATCAAAGTAGTGTCCTACCAAATTTGAAGCTCGGAGTCAGCGTTCATTAGCCAATTGACTAAAAGCCGTACTTGACTTTTATGTTCACACATTTTTCTGTAGTTTTTTGTTAATTGTTAATATAAATAATATTGACCGATATATATGTCCGTAGGATAACCAATAAAACAAGCTTTTGGAAGAATTCGACTTTATTCATCAAGGAAGTCTCCTTCAAGAGAATCCATCATATCAGCGCTTTTCTAACGTTTCGACACTGCTCTTGTAGAATAATGTATCTTTGGACTTGAAAAATGAACTAATCTCGATGATAACTTTTTCATCGCAAATAAAATTTTTTCCTTGAAGCATTCTTTCAGTATCAGCGAACAGATAGTAACAGGTGGGGAACACATTTAGCGAAAACGGTGAGTACAATAGTAATTAACACTTTAATTCGTGCAATTTAGCCATGGTAGCAAACGACTTCTCACATAACACATTGTCTTGATGAAAAAGAACATTGTTTTTCTTCATACGAGGCCGTTGTTTCACGATTTTCTTCTTCAAAGGTATCAGTTGGGTAATGTATCACCACAGCCATGTCAGTTGTCTGTTACGTTTCTAACCACTTTCGATAAGGTTTACCGGCTGTTATTCACTCAGCTAACTGCTGATTTGACCCTAAGGAGAAGGGGTAGATCCAATTTTCATTCATTGTTGAAAATCGACAGTTACAACAGTTCTGTACAGCTCTCAAAATCATAAACACGTTGTTGTTTTTGGACAATTGTCAGCAAAAGCACTATCTCCCGAAGAAAGCTCTTCTATAAATAAATATTCAAGCAAAATAAACCCGACAGGTTCTTTTGAAATTTAAAAGATAACAGCTAACTCCTGCAACTTGATTTTATACGAGTTTCTAATATTGCCAAGGCGATTTTGTGGACTTTTTTCATATTTACCGGTGTTACCACCTCTTATCTACTATTTGTTTCGATTAAGCAGAGACCGGGTAGCACTTATTAAGCCAAGTTTTTGCTGTCACTATATATTTTCCCATCAAAAAACAATGATAAATCACGATACGAAATTACTTTGAAAAAGTAGTGTCGTTCAAATGTCATGAAATTTAGAAAAATATCATTAAAAAGTTGCCACTTTTTAAAATCCATATGGATTTTTCATTAGTGGCACTGTCAGTGTATCATCTTACGGACTTATCACCAATGTGTTAGTTTCTAAAGTATTTAATAATGATAGTCCCCATTTTTGCGAATTTTTTGTTTTCTCCAAGCGTCAGAAGCTTATTCTGAGTACGTTATTATCACTTCATTTATTAATCGGTTGAAATAATATATAATCGAGTCGTGATATTATGAAAATCATTCTCATCATTCACAATATTTATACCAGAAATCAATAAATTTCGGTATGAATGTTTTAAACAAATTATATTTAATTATATGGTATAGTGATTCATTAAAACGATATTTAAATATATTTATTTTAGGTATTAGACAGGAATTGAAAATCAATAAACACATCGACTTTTAACATGCAAATACTTTTAAATCTCATCACGTCTTGATGAGCTTTAAACATTTTACGCTTGAGATGCATTTATTTATTTATTTATGCATTCATTTCATTCAATTTGTATGTTTCAAACTCAAATAAATGCTTTTTTAAAATAATCTTATTTATTTATTTAATATTACTGATATTTTTCTCTTTTTGTACAAAATATTTTACTGATATCTCATGTTACGTTTTGGACACTTTTGATTCCGACTAATTTGCATTTTGGTCAGGTTGGTGCTTGCCACACAGACGAATGCTATTAAAAGGTTGTAGTCGTGTTAACACGTCCCTGTCATGCCATTTAGTTTTTATGGTTCCGAATACTCACTAGAGGTTGTTGTTCTGTGGTTTTTCGTTTTCTACTCTTTATTTTTATTTCATGAAATATGTATCTTATATATATATTTTAATATAAGATAAAAGCTTTGAACCTACAGGTTGGTTGTCATCATTAAATCGTCGCCTGTTGCTAGCTTATCCACAATGTTTTCAATGAAACCTTTTTGTTTGGGTTAGTAGGGTATTAAATAAAATAAAATATATGTATATAGTAAAGAGGGATTGTTGTACATTTCAGGATTTTGTATTTTTATTACGGTTGGCATGTAAAAACGAAAAAGTAAAAAAATACAACTACGGAAAATGCGGAAGTTTTCAAAATTATGCAAATTGTGTGGTCATAAATTTTATAATAGAAATTTTCTTACAGAAAATTTGTACATAAATTTTAGTATCAAAGAGCAATGAATTACAAAATAGAACATTTTTACACTTTTCGGGAACATAAATTTAAAGTCTAACAATCTTGTTTTCTTACTTTATGGGAGGTGTTTTTAAATACGTGGATGCGTTAAAACGGAAAATGTGAAAACTTTGAAATAAAATATTAATTTTACAAATATGTTCAAATATTTATTGATGTATAAAGATGGTTAATGTATTGAGCTTAAACATGAAAATCGAAATTATGAGGTGGAAGCGGCAATTACGTCTTATAAATGAAATTTAAAATTTAAAACCAAAAGAAAATTTCGCTTAAACAGATAATAGGTAAATAAAATTGAATAATTTTAAAAGTATTATTATAAAAATTATTATTTCTTTTAAAAAGAATTTTATTTTTTAAAAAAAATTTTTTTTTTGGTACTTATAAATTATTAAAATTTATTATTATAAAATCAAATAATAAAATATATTTGTTATATGTTAGATTCCTAAGTATGACATATGAATACACGATTTAAATAAAACTGCCTAAATACTAATATAAATTTATTTCTCTAAAAGATTAAACACACTATCAAAGTATTATAAAAAAGTATTATATAGGAGTACTCATATAAACTGATAAATTCATTATATACATAAACGTATAAATTTATTTGCTTGGTATATGAAGCATCAAATTTTATATTGAAAATAGTTTACACAATCTTGATAAATTTAGACGAAAATTTTACCAAATAAATTTATATCGTATA